GGCCAGCAGCGACTATGGGCAGACGGTGGACGCGGTGGAGAAGCTGCTGAAGCGACACGAGGCTTTCGAGAAGTCCTCAGCCACCTGGGAGGAGCGAATCGCCGCCCTCAGGAAGCTGACTACGGTGAGGAAGGGTCGTGATGAGGCCTCTGCCTGCCCTGCCTCAGCTCCCCCACCATCCCTTAACACTTTCCCCCTTTTTCCCTGGCAGCTGGAGCTCCTGGGTGGGCGGTCGCTGCGTGAGGGGCTGGCGCGGGATGGGACAACGCGCTCTGAGGCTCCCGACTACCACCTGGATCTGGATGGGGAGCTGGATGCTGGGTAAGGACTGCCACCACTATTCCATGTGGCTAGGGACACCATTTCCACATCGTTTTTCTCAAGCCATTAAGGATTTTTTTTAGCATTAAGGGGCTTTTTTAGCAATTTGCCTTTTCCGAGCAGCGAACTGATGCTCTTCAACAGCATGAAGGTCAAGCCTCACCCTGAGAGGGTTTTCATCCCTTGGTGGGGACAGGAGAGATGCAGCCAGCCCCAAATCCCTGCAGGATCACAGCTGGGATGGGGATGCTGAATGGCTGCTTCCTTGTGCAGGTCTGAGGAGGAAGAGGATGAGGAGGAGAAGAGGAAGGATGTGAGCACACAGGACACTTCGATACCCACCACCGATGGACCAGAGCCGGTCAGTTCTTGAGTTTAGCTTTTACCTTCCCCGACAGCCAAAACCGTCTCCCTGCATGTCCCACCATTCCTGGCACCCCTTGTGACTGTGACCACATTGTGCTGATGGCTCCCTGTGTCCCCAACCCTCACCTTGTCCTTGCCTTGAGTTGAATAAATGCTAAATTACCCCAAAAAGGCTAGGCGGGCAGAGGGGTGCTGCAGGTCCCCTTTGCCCCAGCTCCTGGGGTGACATGGGGGGTGGCACCCGTGGGTGCACATGTGTGTCTGGGATCGGTGCAGCAGTCAGAGCTGAAGTGTCTGCCCTGGAGTGGGCAGATCCCGGCTTCTCCAAGGGACATCATCACTCTATGGGGCACTGTCACCCTGTGGGGCATCGTCACCCTGTGAGGCATCGTCACTCCAAGGAGCATCATCACCCTGCGGGATATCATCACCCTTGGGGCATCGTCACCCCCTGGGGCATTGTCGTCCAGAGGGACATCATCACCCCGTGGGACATCAGCACCCTGCGGGGCACTGTCACCCCAAGAGACACCATCACTGTATGGGGCATTGTCACCCCATGGAGCACTGTCACCCTCTGGGGTATTGTCACCTTGTGGGACATTGCCACCCTACAAGGCATCAACACCCTGTGGGGCATCGTTACCCCCACAGCACTGTCACCCTGCAAGGCGTCGTCACCCCACAGGACACTGCCCCCCTCGGGCATTGTCACCTCATGTGCCAGCCCCCTTGTGCCCGCTGCCAGCCTCTCTTCTCCTCCTGCCTGCTCTGCCTACGTGGGGACATGATGGCTTTCTGGAGGCTTTGCCTGCTTGGGGACAGGAACCCCTTCTGCCTCTTCTGCCTGCTTGGGGACACGGGTGTCTGCTGGCTCCTGGGGGACAGGAACGTTCTCCCCTGCCTGGGGACAGGATCCTTGAGTACTTACCCAGGGAGTAGATCATTTGTGCCTGCTCAGGGCTCTTCTGGCTCTTCGGGGACAGGGTGCTGCTCTGCCTGCTTGGGAACACAGCCACTTTCATCTGCTTGGGGACAGGAGCCCCCTCTGCCTACTGCCAGCCTGCTCAGGGACATGGGCATCTTCTGGATCCTTGGGGACAAGATCACTTTTCCCTGCCTGGGGGCAAGATCCTGGAGTACCTACACGGGGACAAGAGCGTTTCTGCCTGCCTGGGGACATGGGCATCTGCTGGGAACAGGGTCCTGCTCTGCCTGTTTGGGGACACAGTCACTTTCAGCTGCTTGGGGACAGGAGCCCCCACTGCCTGTTCATGGTTCCGTGGGGACAGGGTCCTGCTCTGCCTTCCTGGGAACTTGCGAATCTTCTGGCTCCATGGGGACAGGGTCCTCTCTGCCTGCTCAGGAACATGGATACTTTCACCTGCTTGGGGACAGGAGCCCCATCTGCATGGAGACACGGGCATCTCCTGGTTCCTTGGGGACAGGATCACGTCTGTCTGCCTGGGAACAGGGCCCCTGAGTATCTATTTGGGCCCAAGATCATTTCTGCCTGCTTCGGGACACAGGCATCTCCTGGCTTCTTGGGGACATGGACCCTGGCCAAGCCTCTCCTGTGGCACCCAGCTCGATGGGCATCCCCTTTGCTGGGGACCACGGCCCCTGACTGGACCTCTCACTGTCCCCAAGGCCTTGGGCTGGCAGCAGCAGCAGGGTGGCTCCCAGAACTGCTCACCTGGCTCGGCTCAACCTCATCACCCCACATCTGGGGCACCACTGACACCGAGATCTGGGGGTCCCAGAGCTGGACTGTGTCCCAGCTGCTCACTGGGATACTTCCAGTAGCCACCAGTTCCCATGTACTGGAGCTGGGGTGGCTTCACTGGCACTGTGCTGAGGGTCTCTGCTGCTTGCTGGGGGCTTCCCAGCAGCCACCCGTTCCCACATTCTGGAGCTGATGAGGTCACTGTCACCGAGATCTGGGGTCCCAGGGTTGGACCATGTCCCAGCCACTCACTGGGGTCCTGCCAGTAGCCACCAGTTCCTGAATATTCGAGCTGGTGGGGTCACTGACACTGTACTGGGGGTCCCAGGGGTGGACCGTGTCCCAGATGCTCACTGGCATCCTCCCAGTAACCACCAGTTTCCACGTATCAGAACTGGTGGGGTCATTGGCACCTCAGGGAGGGTCTCAGCCATCACCAAAGTCCTCCCAGTAGCCACCAGTTCCTGAATATTCAAGCTGGTGGGGTCACTGACACTGTACTGAGGGTCTCAGGGCTGGACCGTGTCTGAGATGCTCATTGAAGTCCTCCCAGTAGCCACCAGTTCCCACATACTGAAACTGGTGGGGTCACTGGCACTTCAATGAGGGTCTCACCCATCACTGGAGTCCTCCCAGTAGCCACCAGTTCCCGAATATTCAAGCTGGTGGGGTCACTGACACTGTACTGAGGGTCTCAGGGCTGGACCGTGTCCCAGATGCCCACTGGCGTCCTCCCAGTAGCCACCAATTTCCACATACCAGACCTGGTGGGGCCACTGGCACTGAGACCTGGGGGTGACCCACCCCCAGGCTGGAGCTTGTCACCCTCTGGTGACAGTGACCCACGTACCCGGTGCCACCACGGGAGGGGACAACACCTCCCCGCGCATCCTTCGGTGGCGGTGGGTGACGCCGCGCCGTAACCGCGCTGTTGCTTTGCGACAGCTGGCGCCGAGGACGGGCGACGAGGAGCCGGTGTCACCAACCCCGCGGCCACCACGGGAGGAGCCGGAGGAGCCGGCCACGCTGCCGGCCCGCGTCAGCAGCGTCCAGCTGGAGGGCTACCTCGGCCGCAAGCACGACCTGGAGGCGGCCACCAAGCGCGCGTCCAACCGGTAGGCAGGGCGGTGGCAGCGGCGGCGGGGCCCGCGGTGTGCCCGGGCGGGGTGGTGACAACCGGGGTGACCTGGTGCTGGCGCAGGTCGTGGAGCACGCGGTACTGCGTCCTGCGGGGCGGCCAGCTCGCCTTCTTCAAGGACGCCAAGAGCCGCGCGCTGGGGCTGCCGTGCCAGGGCGAGGAGCCCCTGGGGCTGCGCGACGCCCGCTGCGAGGTCCCCGCTGGCTACAAGAAGAAGAAACACGTCTTCAAGCTCAGGTGAGGGCACGGCGTGGAGCGGGGGGCACGGTGGGCACGCGTGGCACTGGCCTATGTCCTCTGTCCCCAGGCTCAGCAACGGCAGCGAGTGGCTGTTCCATGGCAAGGATGAGGTGAGGGGTGGCCTGGGAGGGGACACGGGGTGGCTGGGGGACACAGTGGTGACCAGCAGTGAATTGGGGGGACACAGGGTGGCCAGTGGTGCCCAGAGGACACGGGGTAGTAGCCAGAGAGGTCCAGAGGGACACAAGGTGGCTGGCTGTTCCCAGGGGACACAGGGGGGACACCACTGCTGCCCAGGGGACATGGTGGTGGCCAGCAGTGACCGGGGGGACGTGGGGTGGCTGGTGGTGCCCCGAGGGACACAGGGGGATAGTAGCAGTGCCCAGGGGACACAGGGGTGGCCAGGGGGACATTGGGGGGCCAGTGGTGGTCAGCGGACACAGGAGTGGCAAGAGGTGCCATAAGGACACAATGAGGGGCTGGCAGTGCCCAGGGGAATGTGGGCAGCTGGGGAAGACGTCGGGCAACTGGCATCACCCTGGGGGACATGGGTGTGGCCGGGAAGGTGCTGGGGGGACAAGGGAGCCCCTCCTGATCTTCCCCCCCTTCCCCCCGTGCCCGCAGGAGGAGCTGCAGGCCTGGCTGCAGGGACTGAGCGCGGCCATCACCGAGTGTCGGGGCAGCTGGGGGAAGACGCAGAGCCTCCCCCTGTCTCTGCCCCCGGCGCCTCCCGAACCCCCCCTGCCCCGCAAGGACAAGGAGAAACGCTTCAGCTTCTTCCCAAAAAAGAAATAACCCCCCTGGGGGGGGGGGGGGGGGGGGGGGACACCCCACGTCACGCCAGCGGGGCCACGCGTGTGTTAAGGACACGCGTGTGCGGTACCTGTACAGGTGCCACCGGGTTAGAGGGCACGTGTGTGGGGGGGTCACACACGTGGGCGGGAGCCTCCCCCCGCGAGCACACGTGTCCGTGTGCACAGGTGTATATATATATATATATATATATATATATTTGTATTTATATATATACATACATTTACACGTTTCAGGCACACGCCTGTGCGGAGGCGAGTGCAGGTGCCCCCCCCCCCCCCCCCCC